GGTTTTTCTCCGGTACCGGGAACCGAACTCACGACCTTGTGCTTGCCAGGCAGGCGCTTTGCCACTGAGCTAAATCCCCAGCCCAACACATTTATATTATTTTAAATATCACTAATAGACATTTTTTGAGTGTGCTAAATAATTGAAAGAATTAAATTTGACAGTAGCATGACAATATGCTTGCTTAGGGTTTATGTTATATAGTTTGTAGAATAGAATATAACATCTATGTATCAGGTCCTATGCTTCATTCTTTACATATATAGTTTAGTTAATCTTCAATTACCCTGTGAGGTAGGTATTACTGTGATCCTCATTTGTATGTAAATGTGTAAAACAGATTTGTATGCATTGTACGAGAACAAGTACCCTATTTTTTTTTTTTTTTTAACTTTACTGTTGAACCCATCTGATGGCCTTTGTAGGTTAAGGTCAAGTTCAGCATCATCTGCAACATCTAGTGAGAAGGCCCCTCCTTTCTAGCTCTCTCTCCTGTTTGTACTTCATCTGAATTTGGTTCTGACTTATGTGTTAGTGCTGTTTAAAAATGTGGAAATATACTTACCCTTTGCTCTTTTCTTCTTTGCCTGAGCTCAGCCCTGGATACTGAAACCCTAGCTCCCCCAGCTTGGTCACACCTTTGATAATGGCTGTTTTGCTACCATTGCCCAGTACCTTGCGTATTTTAGGAAGGCACTGAGAAAGGCTTTAGCATAGGCAGTGAATGTCTATTTCTAGAACTTGGGAGAGGCTAGAAGAGACATGGAGAAGAGAGGATTACAAATTAGGTACAATAGCAGTTTAACAATAACTACAAAAGTTGAATATAACTGTATGGTAACATAAACTTACGTGAATGTGGTCTCTCAAAATACTATACTGTAGATCTTAGCAATCTCGGTATATGACTTTTTTCCCTTTTCATTAAATCAAGAATTTTCACCTTTTCATGTGAAGGAAGCATTTTATGGCTTCTCTCTGGCATATTCAGGTTCAACATGACTCTTGTGCCATATGGTCATTATTAAGTAAAGTAAGAGTATTTGAACGCAAACAGTGAAATAGTAGATCTAACAAATAAGATGGCTATTAAATGACTAATAGTGCATAAATATATGCAGGGAAAAGGGATGGTTCATATTCTGAGCAAGATGGAATGGGAAGGCATGAGATTTCATTAGGCCACTCAAAATGGCAGCAATTTAAAATACAAGAAATGTTCATTTGTGGAGTTTTTCGTTTAATGTTTTTGACTTTGTTGACCGAGGGTAACTGGAACTGTAGGAAGCAAAACTAACTAAGGGAGACTACTGTAGTCATAAGAAAATGGAGGCAGCTAAATTTTGTAGATTAATCCTTTCAGGAAGTTGTCAGCCTTAAACAAGAGAACTAGGATTTGGGTTTGAAATCAGAGTTGGGTTTTGTTTTGTGTGCATGGTGGACGAGACCAATGTTTATTAGGCAAATGTTAGAAAGAGTCAGTGAAGGGGAAATAGAGATGGTAGGAGGGAAGGAGAAGAGGCCAGAAAGAACGATGCAGGTAGTGAGTTCTCAGATGCTCAGCACCAGTACCCTGGGGGATCTGGGGCAGTAATACTGTCTGTCGAAGCAGAAGAAATGGAAAGTATGGGGAAGAAGAAATCCTCACGTGTGGAGGAGGTAAGAAGGGTTGATGGTGGCTTTACAAGAGATGAAGGGTTGAAAAGCCACCATGGAAAATGTACTAGCAAATCAATAAGATGAATGAAAAGCACTGCTCAGAACCATAAGGACAGAAATGAGACTGACATCACCTTGAAATAGGCTATATCAACTGTTTCCCTGTTCACTGCAGCGGTTGTTAGCAACACAGAGGTAAATAAAGAAGGATCGCAAAGCAAAGCTGAGGAAGGTAAGCAGCGCATGGATTCTGGGTGTCCACAAGGCGCCAGGGGATCAGGGCAGCTAAGTGATTACGAAGGAGTGGAATACAGTGACTCCCCGCTCCCACAGTAACTGCTTCCTAGTCTTCTAATATCTTTCTTTATTAAAAACATTTTAAACTTACTTCTCTGGGCTGTAGTTTCCTTGAAGGAGGGGACTGTGATTTGTGTAATTACCCACTTATGCCACAAATTTTTCTTGCAGTCACCTTGTTGAACATAGGCAGAAACTCAGAGTACAGGGCGGTAATGAAATATCAGTAAGACACAAGTAAATGAATATAGCCGGGCAAGCGCTGAGGATCTTTATAGAGAAATATAAAAGCATACTGTGTTGAAAAATTGCCATGGTTTGTGTTGAATCCTCTCCACATATTGAGAAAGAGTAGCATAAAGCAAGTTTATCAGTTCAGGAAGTAGTGTTGGGTGAGAGTGCTAGGCAGCAATATCGTGGGCAAAAAGCTGTATTGGCACTTTGCTTGCGCTGTGAGTGAGGGAAAGTGAGACGAGTACAACTCCCTGGAGAAGCTTTTGAGGAAAATGATGTCATTTAGGAGAAAGCCAGGTTTCAGTGAGGGCGAAGAGATGGAAAAAGAACTTACGGCGAAGTAAAACTCTACTGGAAAATTCAGCTGCACATTCCACAGGGTTTCATGGAAGGAGTTAGCTAAATAGAAAAGTGAACAGTGGATTCAGAGGCTTAAACAACAGAAGAGTTCATTGTCTCATCACTCCCATAAACTCTTGAAGTCGGGGCTGCCTTAGCTTTACTATATACAAACAACAGAAAGCACTCAATGTTTAT